GGTGCGTGGCTGCGATGCCATTGACTTCTGCTCCTGAACGCAGGGAGCCAGCCACCGTGCTTTCCAGAGGCCGAATGGTCTGGAAGGCAGACTTTGTGGTGTGAAAAGGCTCTCAAGGCATAGGGACACGCCAGGAGCCCCTCACATCACAACGGCAGCTGAAGCCTCCAGCGTGTCCCCAAACCAAAGTCAAGCAAGTCAAGTAGCAAAACTAATGGAACGCACTCATCAATTCATAACTAGCTTAGAATCAAGGTGAACATGGAAGGGCTTTACACAGTACAAAGAGCAAACGTTTCCCAGCACAATCACTGACTCTCATAGATTAGCGTTAGGACCACACTACACAGAAGGGCCATGACGAGGCAGTGCGGCCTCCGCGTATTCTGCAAACGTCTTGCAACTTAAGCCTCAGATTTTAGCCTTAACCACTTGTTGTCCGGAGCAATTTCTTACTATTTGCACACACATGATCAAATCTGAATTCTTGGCTAGAAAACAGCTTCAGACCCCCAAACAAACCAGCTTCCCAGCCGATCAGATTCGAGCTAGCTTCCCAGCCAATCAGGAAGCTGGGCGACGAGTAATGACCTGATTGGCCGGAAAGCTGCCTTCCCGGCCAATCAAGAAACCTGGGAGGCAGGCCATTACTCGCCGCCCCGCTTCCTGATTGCACAGGAAGCTGGCTCCATGTTCCCCTACGGCACTGCTGGTCAGAGGAAATCTCCCTCTGACCGGAAGTTCCGGTATCGGAGCATTTGGGCAAGTACAAGTTCTCGCCCAAATACTCTGTATCATCCCCAATCAAAACTGTATTTGACTGTGCTAAATAGCGCTTCTCATTGGTCAGCGTGGTCACCTGACCACACTGACCAATGAGTACTTGCAATTTGCAAGCAAAATTCAAAATGCATAGGGCAGGACTGCGCTGGACAGCAGTACGGGGTACAGATAGTACACCTGTACTGGCGGAGGTTAAGGACTGTTCGCCGAAACGTAAGTATAGCCAGGGAGAAAGACGGGGCCAGATTTGATTGGGTCTTTCCATTTTCCCATATTACCTGGGAAAGTGAACTTGCCCTTTAATGAACATTGTGCGTGTAAGAGAGTTCTGCTGCCTGTCCTACACGTGTGTGTATTTGCATGCAGATGGTGGGGGCAGCACTCAACGCACACATACAATGTCCAATGTGTGCATTTATTTGCATGCAGATGGTGGGGCAGCGGGGTTGGTTTTAATTTTTTTTACTTTGTCACTTTTATTTTTGAAATTGTTATATATTTTATTATTTTTTAGTTTTTTTTATAACTTTTTAATTTTGTTAATTTTTTTTCCACTTTATTTTATTCCTATCACATGGGGGCTTCCAAGATTATCACTGCTTGTTTGATGCAAGTGATCTGATCAGATCACTTGTTTAAAAACGAGCGGTGGCTCCCCACTGTACATTTAGCTCTGCTTGTCCGAAGCAGAGCTAAATGTACAAAAAAACGACTTGCCCGGCGCCGAAACTGCATGTCCCAGGCATCGGGAGATAGGAATTCCACACCCCTGTACTCTGGACCACCACAATCCAGACACTGTACTGCACTTCATATACTGTGCAATGTCATATACGCACACTTTATTGTGCTGTAGGTGACATACTCTGGACCACCACAATCCAGACACTGTACTGTACTTCATATACTGTGCAATGTCATATACGCACACTTTACTGTGCTGTACGTGACATACTCTGGACCACCACACTCCAGACACTGTACTGTACTTCATATACTGTGCAATGTCATATACACACACTTTACTGTGCTGTACGTGACATACTCTGGACCGCCACACTCAAGACACTGTTCTGTACTTCACATGCTGTAGACCACTATACTATGTGATGCACGGTACGATTTATATTCTGGACTGCCACATTCTGCACTGTGCTGTACATTACACGAGGCTCCATTCACAGAGTGTTCACACATGGACAATGATCTTAAAGGAGAACTATGGGTTTAAGTCTTTTCCCCATAGTTCTCCTTAGGGTAACGGGAGGACACAAACTAGCGTCCTCCCGTCACCCTAGGCTCAGTATACCACGAGCTGTAGCTCGCACTATATTGAGACGCCGCAGTATACCGCGAGCAGCTGCTCGCGGTATACTGAGACTCCGCAGCTGAAGCCGATCAAGACAATTGTGCCGGGATCCGCCCATCTGCGTGACTGACAGCTGGCTCTGCCTATCTAAAGGCAGAGCCAGCTGTACCCGCCCCCTCCCCCGTCCGTTCCGCAGGTCAGCGCTGGCGGATCAGAGCGGGGAGAGGGGAATCCAACCCCTCCCCTGTCACAGCAGAGAGCCGTGACAGGATCGAAAGGTGAGCGAACGCCGGTATGTGTTCGCTCACTTCCCCATCTACTGAGCCGACCTGTGACAGTCTCATTGTCACAGGTCGGCTAGAACTATGAGCTGAGTGAAAAGCACTCGCCTCATAGCTCTCCTTTTAAAGTGGATGTAAATTGTAACAATTAACTTTTGATTTGCTCCTGTTTGGTCCGTTAGCTATACCGTCATAAACATTATGTTATATGTGTTTTATAAGTGCAAGGAAAATACCTCCTAGGTCTAGTCAGAAATCCAGAGCTGTGCTGTGCTGTCTGCCTGTGTTATCTCAAGGAGACTATGTAACCCTCTGTGTTCTGATCTTGGACTACAGGTACGTTAGTCCCTCTGCTGTGGATAATGCTGGCCATACAATAAGAGATGTAGTTCATGAATCCTGCCGGCTGAACGAATACAATCTAACAGGTTCCTTTGTACGCAATAAACAGTGTGGATGGACGGATCTCTATCTGTGGCTATTGTATTCTGACAGCCCAAGCCTGCTGAAGTCAGAATACATGAACAGTGACTGCAGCTGATTCAGACTCATTTTTCTGCCTGGCTCCTTGGACAAGGGTCCAGAGTAATCGACCTTTGTTGAGTCGGCAGGGACATCCACTGTAGGAAGACATTGGGATGGGTTGAGTACTGTAGAAAAAGACAAAGGACACCACTCAGACTAGCCATTAGGTATGTGTGATGGCTTTGGGTGAACAGAATTTGCCTAAGCCTGCCAATACTGCCAGTGACAACCCCCTCCCGGCCCAATCAGCTATGGCCAGGGCATTCCCCACCCCTTTTGTTATGTGTATCTGAGGGGAAGGGAATGCCCCAGTCCCAGCTGATTGGGCCAGGAGGGGGATGTGTCACAGACAGTTTTGCATGGGCCTGGGCAAACTCGGTTTGCACACTAAGCCCACCACGCATTCCTCCTAGTCATGGCATGGTTAGATTTCTGACGTTGAGTCAGTCCTGCAGACTGAACAAGATAAAGTCACTCCCAATCCATGCTAAACAGAGTGGATGGAGCAATGTCCTCTGTTGGCTATTTTATACATGAAGCTACTACACCTGCAGCTGTCTGAATACCCATCTGATTGGATGCAGTCTCTGTTTGGCTAGTTATTTTCCACCCGGCTCAGTCGATTTTTTTCAATCAACTTTTGTTGAGCCGGCAGGGCCAGCCACAGTTCAGCAGGAAATTTGTATTGTATATGAATACCTTCATTCCAACACGGGCAAATGTACATAATATTGCAGAGATGTGCTGACATACAGTCTCCTTTTTGCCATGTGACTTTGATTTTCAATTCTCATTGAACTCTCATTGAAAATAGAATCCTTATCCTGCTGTGTTCACTTTGTGTATTGAGCCAATGGCCCAGACCACCACAATCTAGATTCAGTACTGCACATAGAATTCTCTGCTCTGCCACACTACATATCAGTATGACTGCTGGTGTGACTGTACCCTTAAAGAAGCAACATTTTAAAATATAATAATTTGTAGTTTATATTTACAAATCCTGATCTGTGGAAGTATTGAGCATGAGCAGGTCAGTGGTTTATTGAATGGGCCAGAGTAGCTGAACTTCACATCCACTTTTAACATACTTATTTTTTTTTTCAAGTTATTAAAAAAGGCAAATGTTTTCTCAACTCTTGCAGTGGGGCTTCCCCTGCACTGCAAGGGTTAAGTGCTACAAATGTATCCATTGCATTATAACATCATTTATTGCTCCATGTGAATTAAAGCAAAAATTAACCTTAAAAAACAAACAAACTGCAAGTAGTATTTTTGGCAGAATAGACACACCAAGTCTCTTCTTCCCAACAATCAATTGCTTCTAACTTCTACAGTCTGTTCTATCCCGGGTCCTTTCCAGCATCTGTGGTGTGCCTGGAATCGAGCAGGGTGCTGAAGTTGATGTAGCTCCTCTGCGTATGCGTAGGAGTTATATGATCACAGGCAGTCAGACAGGACCCAGAATATATGGCAGATCGGTCAGCGCTGGTGGAGAGCACACTTGTCAGGTAAGTTGCCATAATGTGTAAGTATGCTGTGCACAGCAGACTTTATTTCCACTTTAAGGTATTGTCAGTCTTATGCCTTTGTCTCTGTAATAAAGGAATTCCCATTTACATTGTGTCAACAAGCTATTTACTACAAGAAAAATCATTTGCTCCTGATGTGCCAGTCATTTTCTCATACACTATTTTACTGTCATTTTCCACATAGCTGTTTTGTTACATTATGGCTCATAGAAGCTGTCATATAAGCAATATACTGCAAAAAGTGCAAGAAGCAAACCCAAAGCGATAAATCAGAATCCTTTAATTCAGGGCTGGGCAAATCGCAGGAGCCAGGTAGCCAATGCTCCTTGACCATAACAGGCCAACTTTTGAGGTTTGGTCTAATTGCTGTCAATGGCACTGGGTCCTAAAAAAAATCCTGCTGGCTCCTGGATTGGACAGACTGGCTCCTGAATTCCATATAAATGTGTCTACCCCTGTCTTAATCGACGTAGATCAGTGTTGGGTGCATTCAAACACTTTGCTCTTGGTACTGCCTTGTTAATTGAATATGTCTGGAATAATGTAATTTATGGTTTTTATTCTTTCTTATATCAGGTTTCCTCCACGATGGAGGCTGAAGCAGATTCGGCGACAGAGATGAACGGTCAGGAAGAAGCTGACAGTGATGGGGAAGATAGTGCCAGCCAGTCAGACTCTGAGGAAGAGAGTTCTGGTTCGTATCTTCTAATTGTTTGCTATGTTTCAAAATATCTAAGTGATAATAAATTAGGACTTTTTAATTTAACAAACAACACACATTACATTTTATGTTGTAATATTTTAATAGAAGAAATGGTTTAGGCCCGGTTCACACCTGGGCGATTTGTAGCGCGTTCGAACGCTCTGCAAAACGCTCAAACACTGAAATCCCATTATTTCCTATGGGCATGGTTCACACCTGGGCGTATTACAGGCCGTATGAACGCGCTACAAAATGTCCTACGCCCAAAGAAGTACAGGAGCTTCTTTGGGGCGTTTTTGTCGCGCGTTTCCTTTGGTATACAGTAAAGTAGCCCTCGGAAACGAGTGTTTGTCGCGCGTTTTTTTACCACGAATCGCGCGACAAACGCGCATATTCGATACGGCTAGGTGTGTACCCAGCCTTAAAGTCATTGATCACTCACTCAAATTCTTTCTGTTGCTACCTTTTAGTCAGGAGATATTTTGGTGCAAAATGGTTTCAGTTCTTGTAAACTTTGGGAATGTCTTACTTCGTACTGCTTCAGATCACACCACAACATTTCAATAGCAATGAGATCAGCACCCTAGCTTTTACCATTTTATTATAAGACTTTCCCTCTGATTAAGCTAAACCTGTCTTTTGGGTTATTTTTAGGACTGCAACAACTAATCGAAATAAATGGATGATAATCGATAATGAGAATCGACAACTATTCTCATTATCGTTTATTTAATTCGATTAGTTGAATCTGCAGCCACTGCTACTCTGCTCCACCGTTCTCTTCCCTGCTGGTGCTGGCTGCAGCGGTCTGTGTCTTTTTCAGTCTCTGTTGCTCTCCCCGCCTGTATCAGCAGAGGCAGCGGGGGAGACAACGCTGCAGCTGTGCCACCGTTCCTGTGCTGCTACCCCAGTTCCTGCACTGCTCCCCGTGCCCCCTCTTCTGGCGGTGGTAGAAAGCTGGTGTCAAGTCTCCCATCAGTGGCTGGGAGCAATAGCCAGCCTGCTATTGGCCACTTTAAATTGCAATAGCAGGCTAGCTATTGCACCCACCCGCTGCCTGTTGTCAATGAGCAGAGGAGGACCTGAAGGAGAACTTTCTCTTTCATTTCCCTGCTTTGCTGATTGACAGCAGGCAGTGGGCAGGTGCAATAGCTAGCTGGGTATTGCTCCTAGCCACTGACTGTTGTGTTGACATTTAGCTGTCATTCCCCAGTAAAGTGGAAAGGTGACACTAGGGGTCTAAAAGACCCCATATGTAATCTTAACCACTTGCTGCCTGGAGCAATTTCCTAATATTTGCGCACACAATAAAAATCTTAATTTTTGGCTAGAAAACAGCTTAAAACCCACAACAATTATATATTTTCAGAAAGCAGGGGCGCTGTAAAATACAAAAATGCTACTTGCAATTTTTTATGTTGCACGGTATTTGCGCAAATGTTTATCAAACCAGTATTTTTAGGCTAGAATACACTAAAATGAAATGTAATGCACAGAAACGGAATATAATACCCATTTTTTTTGTTAAAATATAAAAAGCTTTTAAAGTGTTGCCTATGGGAAATTTTGGGTATTGTAGTTTTTTGCGGTTTCTCCGGCACACGCAATTTTAAGGCTTGACATGTTTGGTACCAATTTACCTGACTAGACCCCTTCTTTACTACTCACTCCGACATTCGCGGCGCTATGTAACGTGTGGCGCAGTTTTCGTTTTTTGCACATAGGCGCATCCAACACGTGTTTGCATTGTAAGTGCGTGCACGTGGGGGGCGGGGGACTTTTTTTATTTTTTTATTTTTACACAACTTTATTGCTATTACATAGGGGAGTAAGAAGGTCCCTATGTAATGCAAATAGGATGTGGCAGGTCCTCCTTTATGGAGACATCAGGGGTCTTTCAGACCCCAAAGAAGCTGATGAAGCATATGCTTCACCAGCTTCTTCTCCTGGCTCTAAGCCGGAGAATGTAAATAGTAAAGTATGTCACTAGCACACCGTGGTTAAATCTTCAAGAAGTGATCATTTTATTGATGCACATACATCTCTCATCCGATCACTGGACCTGGAAGGAATGTGTTTAACATCAATTCCGGTGTCACTGTTTACATTCTCCATCTAGGAGAGTCCTACCACACTTCTTACTGGTAGGTCCCTTGCGGTGGGTGCTGTAGTGACTGCGGATGGCGCCGCTTCAGATTCAAGTAGTAAAGTATGTCACCAGCACACCGTGGTTAAATCTTCAAGAAGTGGTCCTTTTATTGATGCACACACATCTTGTCACATAGCAATGTTTCCAGTCATGCCCGATGAAGGGGCCACACAGCGCCCCTCAGTACAAACGATCCAGCGGCTGTATAGCCGCCGGATCACTTGTACAGAAAACAGCAACCGTCTGCTGTTTAAAACGATACCAGCAGCAGCTGTGCTCTTGGTATAATCACTTCTAGCCAATGACGTGTATTTACGTGAACCCGCTAGTGGTTAAAGAGAGCCTGTCACCTCCAATGTGCTATTACATAGGGGGCTTATGACGGCTACAGCTCGCGGTATATTGAGACGCCGCAGCCGGAACGGATCCCGACAATTATGTCTGGGTCCACCCAGCTGCGTGAGTGACAGCTGGCTCTGCCTATCTAGAGGTAGAGCCAGCTGCACCCGTTCCGCCAGTCAGCGCTGGAGGATGGGAGCGGGGAGGCGAGAATCCAGTCACTCCCCTGTCACGGCTCTCTGCAGTGACAGGATCGAGAAGTGATCGAGCGCCGGTATGTGTTCGGTCACTTCCCGGTCTACTGACCCGACCTGTGACAGTTTCATTGTCACAGGTCGGCTCAGATTATAAGTATGAGGTGAAAAGCACTCACCTCATAATTCTCCTTTAAAGATTTGTTAAATGTTGATAATGCTGTAAAATAAACCCATCTTTACTTGTCATTAGGAGGAAAGGGAGACAAGAATTGTATTTGTGTGGGGAGACAAACTTTAAAGTTTGGTCAATTTGTGTGTGCAATGTTTTTCCTATTTTTATTAATATCCTACATAAAAGTGTAGGTCTGGGCAAAAAAAAAAAGTATTCAGTGTATATCTACAGTACATTTCACATTTCGCCATGTTTTATTTTTTAAAACCGCAGCTAGTACAGGAGGAGCTTTACCCATATCTTTGAAATGACAACAAAAGCACATTTTACAAATATTTAGTAATGACAATCTACAAACAAATAATTGCCCAGCGTTGTAGTCTTTGCGTTCCTTATTTTTCTTTTCCTCCCCAATCTTCTCACAGTGGCCATTTTTACTAAGGGCAGATTAATCCATCTTGCTTTACTTCCTGGAACTTTGGCACATGTGACCATGCACATCTCAGGGGAGGAAATGCCTTTCCCTGAGTTCTCATGAGATTACAGATATGATTACCCAGCAATGCGCTGCTGATGTAACTTTCCCAGGATGCAATGCTTGGGCACAATTACATCATTTGTACCAAAGTGGACCAGGAACTGGGAAAAACAATAATTGGAAGTAAAAGAAAAATATGTTGTTTAAGGGATTTTGGCAGGATCCTCAGGTATTTCTCACAACCGGCAGTATTTTTAAAGAGGCACAACATTGGACATGTGCATATATTGCAAACTTGTACTGTTTTTTCCCCAGATATACACTTTAAGGTTATGTTTTTACATCTTTTGGCAGACATGGATGATTTGGATTGTGAACGACGCAGAAACGAGTGTCTTGATGAAATGTGTCATTTAGAAAAACAGTTCTCAGAGCTGAAAGAAAAGTAAGTGTTGCAGTCGCCACATCTGCTCATGTTTAATATTTACTGGCAATCCACACTTGTCCTTTTGATGTATAGGAAGAGCCTTGCTTATAAGTGAATGTATCTTTATTGCTTTTCCTCTTATTTCGTCTTCATGGAAATCATTTCCAAAATACCATTGTGCATACCACATTTGAAGAATGTTCCCATACTGATTTTGTGAGTTTCGGTGGAATTATTGACAATAGGCATATATGTGTGCAGGAAATGTCTCCTCACAATATTGACAATAGGCATATATGTGTGCAGGAAATGTCTCCTCACAGTATTGACAATAGGCATATATGTGTGCAGGAAATGTCTCCTCACAGTATTGACAATAGGCATATATGTGTATGGGAAATGTCTCCTCTCAGTATTGACAAAAGGCATATATGTGTACGGGAAATGTCTCCTCACGGTATTGACAATAGGCATATATGTGTGCAGGAAATGTCTCCTCTCAGTATTGACAATAGGCATATATGTGTACGGGAAATGTCTCCTCACAGTATTGACAATAGGCATATATGTGTGCAGGAAATGTCTCCAACTTTTTTTTCAATATTGAATCCAGATCAAACAAATATTCATTGCCCAGCAAAGTATTTTTGAAATTCTTTGCCCAACCATTTAGTCATGTTTCCAAACGGCTCCAACTCTCTCAGCTCAGCTTCCCTGAACTTCCTGTCCAGTGTAAGATCACAAGGGACAGAGCAGTCTACAGCAGATGTCCATCAAGTAGCTTAGAGTAGGGAGGAGGGGAGTGTTTTGTTTGTGCAGACACACACAGCTTACTAGCATACACAAGGGTGGCTCCAAGGGAAAGGAATCACCCTAAAATAGGATATCAGGTGGTTCTTCGGGAATCTAAAACATCAAGAAACTGCATCCATTGTAGTGAGTTAATCAGCATTTTAAAAAAAACTTAAAAACATTTTGACTTTAATATCACTTTAAGGTGTTAATAAAATGATTTTTGAGAAATGAAGACTAACAGATGCCCATCTTATGCAAGTTACAGAAAAGCAGACATTTGTGCCCCTATGTAATATGTATTTTGTGAACAGAATGTTTCAGTAAAATATCTCCTTAGATAATATAAGGAATTAAGTTAAAAAACGCCATCCATCTTAGTAAATTGGTCTCACTGTCTCTGTTCCTGTAGGTTATTCAAGGAAAGATTGAACCAGCTTAAAGCCAAATTGGAAGAGGTGACTTCTGGTAGAGCTATGGAGTATATTAACCCTCTAGCTGACCTACAGAAGAACAGCAAAATCCGCATTGAAGTTGCAGGTAATTCAATTACATTGTAGCTTCCCTTTCCCAAAATGAGTGAATGTTGCAGGGCCCAAGGATATGTTTTGTAGTTGTAACTTTTTTTTTATTATAATGTACATATTCAATTATTTACTGGAATCCTTGCAGAGTTATGTGCTTATTGTTCTCTCGGGTAATAGGACCTAGTCCTCCAGCCTACTCAAACTCAAATATTGTACTTATTGTAATAAGGTAAGTACAGAAACTGATTGCAAACAGTCATTTGTTACAAACTGATGAAGGGTTCCATTTAGTTTCTAAGTGTTACTGCACTTTGCACATCATATGCATTATCATGTATCATATGTATTATAAAAGTAGACAGTACTATTTAGCCAGACGTTTTTTTTCTTTAAAAGAAATATGACCCAGCTTTCCTCTTCTTACTCCTTTGCTGTTCCTGGTGACTGAAAGCCATGTAAATCTGGGACCCTGGACTTCTCAAGCTGAGCCCCAATTATTTACACATCACTTCCTAATCCATGCTTCTCCTAAGCTTCAGTCATTAGTTTGAGAGTCTTTTAAAAGGAAAATGGCCTCACTCAAATCGGGATGAGATTGCCTGCATCTGTTCCATGACTAAGATCTTCTTCCTGTCCCGACACACCAGAGGTGAAAGGTTTATTCCATTTTCTGTACAGAAAAAAGGAGAAGTTGGTGCCCATCTTCTAATTGGCTGAAGTGTTTCTTCTTGACCTGATCAGTGCTCATTATTTCTCTGATATCAGCCTATACACAGCCCAGTTATAAGCAATAATTGTATTGCATAGCTCGCTGATATCTGATCCTGTATGGACACCCTATTTCTTAGTTAACACAAATATGTCTTTTTTTGTGGCTTATGTTCATAAATATGAAGGACTGAAGTATAAAGTGTGCATTTTCTTAATTTAGGCAGTTTTTATGTACTTTCTTTTTTATTTAGGAATCAGAGTCTGAATCACAAACAATATTTCTTCCTCATCCATTGTGGGACACAGGAACACAGGAAGTTGAATTATACTGCTACCTAAAGGAGGATTGGACACTGGCAAACCAAAAACAAAATGTAGGCCAGCCCAGGATCATTCCTCCTACTCCCAGCATGCCTCATTTTTTTTTGCTAGTTTTACTAGAGGGTTGGATGTCTTTTTTTTTTCTTTTTGTTTTGCCAGTGTCTAATACTCATGTAGCTGGCAATATAATCCGAAGGTGACAGGCTTCCTGTGTCCCAAGAAAGATTTTATGGCGAGTACAAAATGCCTATTATCTAGCATTGCAGAATTGTAATGACATAATCTTTTCTTGTAGGAATCTATAAGGGATTTTGCTTGGATGTTATAAAACACCGCTATGAATGTGAGGTTCAGGGCGCTAAGCAACATTTAGAGGCAAGTGACTTGTATGCTATTATAAATGTTTTTGGCATTTCCTTATTTGTGCAAAGTTTGACTTTTACTGTGTATTTATTTGAAGGTTTAGTTTAATGTTGTTAAACTACAGAATCATCAGTCTTTATGTTGTTGTGATCTGAGAGTGGAAGTGGTTGAGGAGTTTAGCCAAAGACTGTGGACAAGTCTGACGACACTCAAGACGCATAAAAACTTGTACCTCGTCAGCCCACAATAAGGCTAAGGCGCTGAGTGCATTTCTATGGTATTTTTCTTTTGCAGGGTCTTTAAATGGATAAAACACGGTAAATGCGCATGTATTGCAGAGATGTAATGCACATGTGTTTTCTTTTTTCTTTTGCCTTGGAATATGCTTTAAAGTTGTGCTCCTTTCTTGTCTACAGAGTGAGAAAGTTCTCCTGTTGGACAACATGCAGTGTGAACTATTGGAGCGAATCCAAAGACTTGAGGAAGATCGTCAGAGCATAGATATTTCTTCAGGTATGCCGGAAACGATACGTTTTTCTGCAATAAACATTTGTCTACGATAATTTACTGGATAGTCTACTACACCTTTTGAATGAAAAGTCATTTGAAACTTTGCTCTCCATCATTATTCTCGGTGAGATATCTGCCCATCTATTGGTTGTCCTAGGCTAGACATTTAAGAGCAAATGTATCTCTCAAGAATGAATGGGTAGACATCACACCTCTACTATAGTGCTGGAACCTGCACTGTTTTCCTTTAAAGGACTTAAGCAAAGCGTCCACAGTTAACACCCCCCGCAGGGTGACCCACTTTGCACAGATATATTCTAACAAGTAAGTAATGCTACGTGAGTGGTAACAAGCACTGGAGAGTGGAAGCAGTTGTTGTTGTCACCTGGGGTAGCCCTCAATGACCCAAATTGACCTGAGCATCAGATCAGGGACCGGGCCACCATTAGACTTAATTTTGTTGCTGTGCCTTAGGTGAAATGTAACAATGCTAAAAAAAGGAAGTTGATTGAAAATAACACTAATGCACAGGAAGACTGGCATTTAAAAAAAAAAACAACTAACTGGCAGTGACACAGCTTGGCATAAACAAAGTTATATATTAATCCTTGTGTTACATTTATTTTCTTAAAACACACCAAAACCCTGAAAAGACGCATGCATACTAGTAAAATCTATGGAATGTTGGGAAAAGGGGAGTTATTCAGACATTTAAATAGTAATGTCCCAATGATGAAAGGCCGCCATGACAGTTTGTAGAGACACACTGACAATGTAAATCAGTTACTCATCATTGAATAAAAAAGTACCTTTAACAGTTTACTACAGACATTTTCTTGTGTCTTTTTAAATATCTGCTAACCTGTTGTGCAGCTTCTGAACTCTGCATTCCAACATAATAAAAGTTTAGTTTTGTAAGGCATAAGACTCTTAGAATGGGCTTAGACAGGCAGATATCTCTCGGAGAATGTCAGGCAGGAAGATATCTGCTCTTTGAGTGAGTCTTCAGAACATCATATGCCGCAGTTATCACTCCAGCAGCATACATGTGGCACTTTGCTCCTTCACTGTTCTGCATGAACTCCTCCACACACCAGATAACACTCTTTGCTAAAAGCTATAACATTGCCTTTATAGGCCCATCTTTAACTGCTTGCTGACCAGGTGTTTAGACCCCCTTCCTGGCCAGGCCATTTTTCAGTATTCAGCGCTGTGGTACTTTGACTGACGTTTATTCCGTCATGCAACGCTGTACTGAAATGAATTTTATACCATTTTTGCGGGACACAGAGCGTTCTTTTGGTGGTATTTAATCACCTAGTGTTTTTTTTTTTTTACTGTAATTAGGAAAAATTACTGAAAATTTTGAAAAAAAAAAGTTTTAAAAAAAATTATGTTAGGAAACATTTATTATTACCCAGTTTTTTGGTAAAATATAAAAGTCGGGGTCACGTCCGGTAAATAGACACCAAACATGTCAAGCTTTAAAATTGCGCGCACCTGCGAAATCGCAGAAAACTACCATACCCAAAATTGGTCATAGGCGACACTTTAAAAGCTTTTACCGCTCATCAGTTTAGTGTTATCAGTGATTGATGGCCCTAGAATTATTGCTCTCACTCCGACGTTCGCGGCGATATGTAACGTGCGGCGTAATGGGCGCAATCGTTTTTTTGCACGTATGCACCCCCGACGCATGTTTGCATGCGTGTATGGGTGGGGACTTTCAAAAAAATGTAGTTTTTTTTATGTGTAACTTTACATTGTTGGGGGGACTTTAATTTTTTTTTTCCTATTTTTTTTTTCTCCACTAAACTTTATTGCTATCACATACGGGGGCTAATAAACCCCCCCCCCTATGTGATAGCAAAATATGTGATAGGTCCTCTTTATGGAGACATCAGGGGTCTCCAAGACCCCTAATGTCACCTAGGACCCCCCAAAAGAAGCATCTGAAGCAGACATCTGCTCCATCAGCTTCTTTCCAGCTTCTGAAGCTGGAGAGTGACACAAGAATGCGGAAGTGATGTAATATACAACACTTCCGCATTCTTGCAGAGGAGAGGGGACCGGAGGGAGCTCGTGTAACGATCTCCCTCTGATCCCCTGTGTCACAGGCAACCTGCTGATCCCGGGCTCGCACCGGGCACAGTGGAGCCCGGGATCAGCGGGACAATGGCGGGGGGGACCGATCGTTACCCCATACAAGCGATGCGCCAGCTCTACAGCCGGCGCATCGCTTGTATGTTAACAAGCATCGCTGCCTGTTTTGAAATATCGGGCATTTCCCGATCGCGCGCAAGGGGGCGTGTCTGAGCGGACGTCTAAAGACGCCCGCTCAGATCTAGAGAGCTCCTGGCCGGCCGTTTTTTTTTACTACGGCTGGCCCGGAGGTGGTTAAAGACCATAAAGGCAATATTTTACAACTGCCCTGGCATACACACATTTTACATGCCTTATCATGCAATAAAAAGGAGTGGGTTTTTTTTTCTGGAAATGCACCACATTGAAAAGCTTGTGTGAGATTGTAGCCTTATACTTAGCACTGCTTACCAGGAGCATACATTTTGTCAGGCTTCTTTCTCCAGAACCTATAGTACTCGCTATGTGAATATCAATTTTACAAGGTTTATTTTAACTATAACGCCCCATTGTTTCTTTTCCTTTCATTAGAGTGGTGGGATGAAGAATTGAGATCTAAACGAAGTCGAAAAAAGTGGGATCCATTTCGTTCGGAGAAGAAGCGGAGAGTTCCATTGGTTTCTGGTATCCTTTAAAGACAAACAATGTGTGCCAAACGACTGTAACATGTCTTACCATGTTGTGGTTTTTGGCCTGAGAAATAAAGTGTTATTATTGTTTACATTAAAAAAGAGAAACACATTGGGGGACATTTATCAAGAAAATAACAACATAATGAAACCAGGCTGCCTTTCCTTCAGACAAATCTTTTAGACAGGTTTACAGACCTGTGTGTTTGTATTTCTAGGGCATCCAGGTGTCATTGTTTGCAGAGTTTTGTGACAGATTTTTTACTAAGGATGCAAGAGAATTTTACTCTTAACAGTCACATAATTGAGAAGTTGTCATGGTCAAGCTTTATTCTGTCGCAGTGCTACTTTAGAGCAGCTTAAGAAGGAATTTATAACTCATGTAACCTTGTAATAAATCTGTCTCACAATTTGTTCACTGCTCCTGTTTAGAAATTGCTCTGCCATGTGACAATTGATAAATGTCTACTATTATAGTTCTATATAAACAATTTGCACTGTTTTCTTTCTGTCCAAACTACAAATGCGGTGCTGATAACAGAACCCTGCTGCCTGTAAAGATATTAGAAAAATTTAGTGTAGGTTAATTCTACCTGCAGACTAGAAAATGTGTATCAGGAAGCACACCTGTAGTTTCAGGCTTAGATGTGCACTGTAGTCAACACTTAAAAGTATACCTTGAGATGCACATGGGGAACACAGCCTGACTGCTCACTACTATAGTGTTTTAGTATTCCTTGCTTGGAATTCAGGAAAGCTATTCCTAAACACCCAATGCAGGCTCATTGCTGTCTTTCACATACAAAACGCTTGCAAGTAAAAAAACACTACTAAGTACTAAGAAGTTTCTTTTAACCACTCATCTGATTGTTTTGGAGGTTTGTTATTGATGATGGAAATTGAGAGAAGTGGCCAGACAGCACAGGCTGGAAGTACACTCTTAAGTTGTCATTACACTGTGCAAAATTCACACACACACCCCTCCACCAGGCATCCTTCTTTTAGAAAATCAAAGAAGCTGAAAGGAAAATCTTCAGGCGGAAGCCAATCAGCTGCTGTAACTGTTAAGGTATTCTGCCATCAGCACATCCACCGCTGTCAGAATACAAAAAACACAGCGTCAGATTTGTCCATCTACGCTGTTTAGCGTGAATGGAGGAATCTGTTATATTTATTTAAAAGTCTATGCCACCTTTTAGGCCTCATTCACACGGGTGGCAGGCTCCACTGCCACTCTGATATACAGTGAGTCTGCAGCTCTTTTGAACCAGTATACAATTGTTGTATATTGTGACATGTGATGAGTTTGTTCATGCAGACCTGTAAAGTTATTGATAGGTCCACTTTAGTAGGGGTGTGGCAAGTAACTAGCGTTATCAGTGTTGTAAATAGTAATGCTTTTGCAAAGCTAATTCAGGGCTCAAGGGAAGCTTGACAGCAATTTTAAGTTTTCAGGGGTGCAAGTATAGGGTCCTATTTTTCTCACTTTAACTCTGATTGTATATCATATTAGTAGAAAGTCTATGGAAATCGTTAACACTGAGGTAGAAGGTAGAATGGAACAGGAAGTGCATGGCTTGTGACTCTGGATTTGCTGCATACTCAACTTTTAATTCAGATTTGTCCATGGAGTGTTCCCTGTAATGGTTGTATAGGGATATATGGGTGGAATGTACCTTGGCAAGAAATTCACAATCATTGATCACTACCAGAAGTGATTTGGAAGTCTTCCAGCCTCATAATCTCCAATGTAAATACAGAACAGGAGCTTTAGAAGCGGGGCTCAGGGTGAGCTGAGCTGACTGAGAGAAGCACTTGAAAAAATGTAGAATCCGTTCATAGTAGCCTCCTGTGTTTCTGCTTAATTTAAACACAGGAGAAATATTCTGTGAAGTGTAACCAAACTTTATACTTCCCTGGTCAGGTTTTTCTGCATTTACATGTACAAGCGTTTAGAGTAAAGGTGCACCGAAATAGAAATTTTAAAACCGAAATAAAAAGAAATGTCAGGCCAAAACAGATACCGAAAATGTTTTTTATTTTTTCAAATTTTTCAAATATTTTATTTATTTTTTATAAACTTTATTTTTTTATATTTATTTTTATTTATTAATTCATTTTGTATTCAATATTTTTATTTTTTACTTTACTTTAAGGCCTTGTTCACACCAAATGCAGAGCAGATCCGCTCAGGTTTCTGCACACACAGGGAAGTGGGTTGTGCAGCGTTTTTGATGCGTTCCGGGCCGTTTTTGGTAAAAAAAAAACTTTGTTTTTGTTTTAGTTTAACATGGGCTTTCAGTGCGTTCCAGCCATTTGCATGCGTTTTTGATGCGTTTGCATGCGTTCCAGAGCAGGTAAAATAGGGCTTGCTGCAGTTTTTTCACCTGCTCTGGAACTGCACGCTACGATGTGAATTGGAGCAAAAAATACCATTGGAATACATTGGACGCAGTTTTGATCCGGTCTGCAACTGCTCTGCTCTGCTCCGCGCTTGGTGTGAACAAGGCCTTAGGGGCTTCGGGGAAATATTTGGGGTCTAAACAGACCCCTGATATTTCCCTTTTAAAATAGAAAAAGAGATTGAGAACACAAAGTCCTCATTCTCTTTTTCCGTGTCCCCTGTTATCAATGAATAGGAATCCTCTGAGTGTTCCTGTTCATTGATAACATGAGAACGTTGTTTGTTTACTATAACCACAATTATGAATGAATGGAGGTGATGTAGATCACTCCCATTCATTCATAACTGAGGATATAGTTAACCTACCATATCCTCAATTATGTACACACACTCAGCGATCACTGATCGCTGAGTGTGTGTACCTTGCTCTTCTCTCTGACACGCTGTCACAGGAGGCTGAGCGAGCGGTGTAGAGAGAAAAGCCCAGCCTCCTATGACAGCGCTGTCTCCGCCCACACAACGCTCTGCCGGACTGTGATAGGCGGCAGAGCGGTGTGGGGGGAGACGTCGGCCACTCACATTGCTCTCCACCGCAGCGCTCGGCCGGCTGTCACTTTCTCTTCGCCCCGCTGGGACAGCAGCACCAAAGGAGGAGGAAAGAAATCAGGGATGCGCCAATGTATCGGCAGGAAAATGGCACTTTCGGCATTTTGCCAAAAGAGCCATTTTCGGCCGATATATCGGTGCATCCCTAGTTTAAAATCTGTCCCTGGATGAACAGAATTCTGTTTTCTCTAAATGCAACTAAATTGAATGCACTTAAATGCAGGCAAGCACTCAGTATGAATGATATTGTTTAAAATCAATAGATTCATTTACAGTATATGTGTTTAGAAATAGCCTGAAAATGCCTATAAACACATGTATGTTATTGCCAGTGTGAATGAAGCCTTAGTGCTTCTGTGAACGTTGAAGATGAACTGCACCACAGTGCCTGGAGCTATAAGGGTTAGTGAAGGCTTTGTTTTAAAGCTCATTTACAGCTTCTTCAAATTATGTAAATACTAAAACTTTCATAGCCTGTCCACAGGTTCAGTTAAATGAACTGTTGTTTGTGTTTAGTTCTCCTTGACCTAACGGATAGGTCCATATATTGTTTATATGTTACGGGATTTGGATATCCTAGAAGACTGGACTGCTATCAAAAAGGTATGTATATGTATTTTCTTCTTCAGTACTTTTCTCTTCCTGCATTCATTAAATATGGTGTATTTTTAATCTAGTTCACATTTGTAATTTAATTAAGAAAATGATATTTTATGAAATCTGATGATAGCAGTTACTACTAAGCACTCACTTTTGCTGGTGCTTTATTGATCCGCAATTCATGCTCTTTCCAACACATTGATGGTAAAGAGAGTTTCTGAAATATTATGCGGTTATGACTTATTGATATCATTTATATTTTTGTTTCCTGACGCATTGCCACACCTGGGGGTAGGCAACTTTGACACTCCAGCTGTGGTGAAACTACAAATGCCATTATGCCTTTGGGAGTTACCTGTGGCTGTCAAAGTCTTGCAATGCCTCATGGGACTAGTAGTTCCACAACAGCTGGAGTACCAAGGTTGCCTACACTCGGGCAGACCTAAAGCTTACAGTATCTACAGGCCAGCAGGGAAACACACAGTTGAAGGCTATATATGGGAACACGTTTCAAAAGCCAAAGGATTTGTAGCTCTGTTCAGCTAGTCTTCGGATGCATTCACTGCCAAACAGTACAGTTGGGTCATTGATCTCCACTGTAGTGGAAGTACAGCTTGGTCAGGAGCACACCAACACATCTACAGCCTGCTGATTGAAGATAGAGCAGCACAGTAATGAGGCATTTCCTCAGCTGACTTTGCTCTCTCCTCCTGTCAGCATGTCTCCCATGTATTACAACAGATCCTGATAGATTCATGCTCCTCACACTTGTAGATTTTTAATTAATGCTTGTATAATAAATATATAACTACAATAATAGTGTTCTTTATCTGCCTGGATTTCAACATTAGGACGGAGGCAATTGCCAAGTTCTGAACATAAAGAAAACAGAATTTGAGCTACATGTCTGCTCAACCATAATTTACCTCTTTCACATTAAGTGCACCCACAATTGTTATATATTGTTTTTAGAGGACAAATAGGGCTTTTGTTTCACATCAAATATTTATAAATTAAATATATATTAGAGGGGCACCCAAATGAAAAATTTTAAACCGAAAATAAAAAATGTCAGACCAAAACCAAAAATATATATATTTTTTTCTAACCTTTACTAGAAAAATTTTTTTATTTTTTATAAACCTTTAAACTTTTAAAAATATTTTATTATTTCTTTTTTCTTAAATATTTTATTTTTTTGCCTTTTACTGTCAGTGCTTCTGTGAAATATCACAGACACCTGATCCTTTCCTTCTACAATAGAAAACGAGATTGAGGACACAGAGTCCACAATCTTTTTCTGCATCCCTGTTATAAATGAACAGGAATGCTCTATACTGAGTGTTCCTGTTCATTCGTACATGGTGGAGATAGTATGTTTACAATGTACACAATTATGAATGAATAGGAAGTGATGTAGATCACTTCCTATTCATTCATAACTGGTAAATAGTAACTTATACTATGTCCAGTTATTTACAAACAGTCAGCGATCAGCTGATCGCTGACTGCTTGTACTGCTCTCCATCCTGACTTGCTGAGCTGGTGTGTGCGGGGAGGAGAGCTCGGGCCTATTTTGACAGCTGACTGCTCCCCCTCACCTCCGGCTTGGGCTCCTGTGACAGCGCACGGCTGTCTCCGCCCCTAAACGGCTCTCCATCCTGATTTGTCACGGCTGAGTGAGGCAGTGCGGGAGGAGAGCCCGGCCTCCTGTGACACGCCGGGTGTTCACAGCGCTCTCCTCCGCCGCACCGCTCGGCCTCCTCTGACAATTTCTCTTCTCCCTGCTGCATGCTTTGCTGTGTCAGTGGGGACACAGAGCAGCACCTAGCGGGGAGGAGAGAAACTATGGATGCACCACAATTTTGGGCGAAACGTGGCACTTTTGCCAAAAGTGGCATTTTCATCCAATATGTTTTGTTAGCCGAAATTTCGGTGAATCCCTAGTAATTAATTATTAGAGGTGCACTAAAAGACATTTTCAAAACCGAAAAAAAAAGTCTGAAACCGAAACTTTTTTTTTTCCCTAGCGTTTTCAAATTTTTAAAAAATATTTTACGTATTTATATTTAAGTATTTGCATTTTTTTTAACTTTACTGTTGGGGGCTCTGGGGAAATACTGGGGGTCTAAACAAACCCCTGATATTTTCCTTTTAAAATAGAAAAAAAAATTGAGGACACAGCCCTCAATCTCTTTTTCTGCAGCCCCCGTTATAAATGAACAGGAATCCTCTATACTGAGTGTTCCGGTTCATTCATAACTTGTGGAGATAGTTTGTTTACCATGTCCACAATCATGAATGAACATGAAGTGAGGTAGATCACTTCCCATTCATTGATAATTGGGGACACAGTAAGCATACTATGTCCTCAATTATTTACACAGCGATCACTGATCGCTAAGGGGTTGTACCCGCTCTCCATCTTGGATTGGCTGTCACAGGAGGCTGAGCCAGTGGTGCGGGAAGGCGAGCTCAATCTTCTGTGACAGCTGACTCCTCCCCCTCACCGCCGCCCTGTCCTCCCCTGACAGCTGTCTCTGCCCCCATACCGCCGCTCTCCCGATCTGTCACAGGAGGCTGGGCGGTGCGGGACGAGAGACGCCGGCTGCTTACATCACTCTCCTCCCTCACCACTCATCCTCCTGTGACAGTTTCTCTCCTCCCCACTGGGACACAGAGCAGCGCCCAGCGGGGAGGAGAGAAACCATGTATGCAACGCTATTTCGGCCGAAAAAGATGTCACTTTCTGCATTTTGCCTAAAGTGCAATTTTGGGCCGATATGTTTCGGTGGCCAAAATTTCGGTGCATCCTTTGTAATTATATTTAAAAAAAGCTAGCCAATTATGAGAAATTAAGACATTTTCATTTTTCCAAGCATGTGCGCACACGCATTTTATTGTGAATATGATAATACTGATACGTTTTACTGCAACAAAACACCTATAATTGTATTCTGCAATGTCTCATGAGTGCATCAATATTTCAGTCATCATACATGGAATTTTGACACATTGCATTTCCAGGCCTAGGTCACCTTTGAGACCATATGGCAGCCTAGGAATTAATTTTTCCATAATAGCATACCATTTTCAAAAGTAGACAACCCAGCGTATTCTAAAGGGGGTATTTTGAATTGTTTTGTGTAGGCAATTTATCACAATTGCTGGCCACCTTTAGAAACTTATAATTTCATCTGTGCTTTTCACACACAAATTCCATTTTCACAGGATATTTCATAATCCTTTTATGTCACTAGGTGAAAGGGTAAAAACGAAAAAATGGTAAAATGTTAATTAAAACCCAGGTACAGATCACACCCCAAAAATTCTGAACAGTACTTTTTAAGTGGTAATTCCACTCAAAAATGTATTGTTTGTTTTGGCTTGCTTACATAAGAATATACTTTAAGTGACACTTTAAGGAGAAGCTAGTACTCTTTTGTTGTCCAAACTAGTGACACATTTTTGAATCTTATAATTTAGGTGTTAAAATGAATTTGTTTCAGAGGAACATACTGAATGACCTATTAAAGGACTTGATTATAGGCAATGACAAGCTGGTTTTGTTTTGAACCTATTCGTAAAGATTAGCAAAATGATTTCTTGGCCTTTAATGTTTGCTGGAAAAGGATAGAAAGTTTTTGTAAATAGATACAATTCTGCCCATAAAATAAATGTACCGTAATTACATGATGTTCATCTTTGTCAAAATATGTTGAACACAAATAAGGAAATTGACAAAATGGTGGCATGTCATTGTCTGTTATTAATAAGCCACTCATTATGATACCAAGTAAGAGTATTACTTTGTATTGTGTGAATGGGTTCAGAGAATAGAGGCGTGAGGAGGGGTGGGCAAACAACGTGACAGCTCCTGTGTAGTAGACCCAAAGGTTTAGTGTCTACTATTAGCACTTACTAAAACTATAAATTGTAGAAAAAAAAGATCCAGGAAATGGCATATACCGTGTTGCACCCAACTCCTATGACAGCGCATTTTAAATACTGATTTATTTTCCCCCCCCCCCAGAGTTCTTTCAATAAAAAGGTCATAATGTGGCTCTCTGAATAGAATGGGATTTAAAATTTCATGACATCAAATGTTTTCCCACTCCTAGTGAGGTCCTGTGACAGACTCAGAACCTTCTACAGATCAAATCTAACAGTTGTCATGGTTATGCTTTCCATCACACTCATTAATAGCTACCTGTGTGCAGGAAAAGGGGAGTTTAAGGTGGTCTGTTGAGCTTGCTGCCCACATAACTTGCATTACATTAAAACTGATGATGCTTATACTGAAATGTCTTACTTTTTTAACATTTTGGATAAATTACAGGCTAAAGCGGCAGTTTCTCCCCAGAAGAGGAAATCGGAGAGTGAGTTCTTAGGCAAATTATTTTGACTTGCATTAGTTGTCTTGTACTTTAAGGCCTATGTCAGCAGGCTTTTGTTTGTTTCAAGCAGGTTTTGCGTTCCCATACAAGTCTAGCTGAATTGAAAACCTGCTTGAAGCAGGTCATATGCAGAGAAGTGTGTCAGAAGCTTGCCAACACAAGCCCTTGTAACAATCATATTGATGTTTGTGTTGAGCCAGTTTCCTAACACCTGCCTTCTCCCTGCTTGACCATTTTCTTTGTTATTGCCCTCATCCTAGGATGATATTCACTATTTGCTATGTGCTGTTGTTTGCCTCATGCCCTTAGGTGGAAAGGTTGATAAGCAGCACTTTAGTGCTCGTTGTGAAGATGGCTGCCTATATTATGAAGGAGAGAGCTTCACCAAAGGGGAAGCCATTATTCTTGACATAAAAGATGAACCACCATCACAGTAAGAATATTGTTATCTTTTTGTTTCAAGTGCAACCAATCCTTCCATAGCTAATCTGTGTATTCATAGGGTGAGCCTTTGAGTAAAGCTGGCCACCCACAGCTCAAATTTTGGCAGATTCCTGCTGAATCGAATGGCCCTGCCAGTGGGCGACCCTGCCCGTACGAACCGGTTGACTTTTAAACCAGTGGAAAATTATAAGCCAAACAGTGCCAGCAGCCATTCAGATGCAGGCACTGTTTGTGCATCACTGTAGCAGTGGGCGCTGGCTGACAGACTCCCAATAGCCGCAGGGGAGATTCGCCCATCTGTGCTAATTAGCCTTCTTTCATTCAGCCTGCAGGCTGAACGCTCTTCCTAGCAGACATAATTTATGTATATAACCAGCCTTTGTCTAAGTTGAGGGAACAGAAACGTTTATAAATTATTCTCACTACCTGCTCTTTAATGGTGTGGCACAGTTGCTGCTGTCTAGTGAATAGACTTGCTGTTTTATTAGAACAGAATATATAAAGACTGTGCAGACCATGAGCGTTAAGCATCAAGCTGCTTTTACATTCACAGTGACTGATACAAGGAAGGGCAAAACAAATGACAAACACACTCAACAATTCGTCACCAGCTATACAGTAAGGTGCACACGAAATGGGCTTTGAACAGTAAAACAGTAGAAAGGTATCATGGCACACTCACAAACCAGCATGTAAAACAACTTGTCTCACCACTAAGGTTAATAACAGAGGTTTGGATACACGTCTTCTGCAGAAGAAATAGGAGCGCAGCGTGACGCAGAGTACATAGATCAGTAACAACGCACAGTACAGAGGGCAGTGGTGTAATGCCAAATATAGAAGCCAATGGTGTGACGCAGAAAAAACAGGGACTTACAGTGCACAGTTGATCTGATTCAGGTGCCCTCTTCCTCTCCTGGTGGGGTAACAAGGTGACGTCTCCTGCAGTCTTGTTGAGCCTCCCTTCAGGTCCCACGCTGTAGAAGAAATGTATCAGTAAAACAGTAGAAAGGTATCATGGCACACTCACAAACCAGCATGTAAAACAACATGTCTCACCACTAAGGTTAATAAGACGTGTATCCAAACCTCTGTTATTAACCTTAGTGGTGAGACAAGTTGTTTTACATGCTGGTGTGTGAGTGTGCCATGATACCTTTCTACTGTTTTACTGATACAAGGAAGGAACGCAAGTCAAACGTAGGCAAATGTCTGTGTACACAAGTCCTTAGCCTGTTACTGTAAACATGCACTATAGCGCTCACGGGTCAGGCTGTCATACCAGCCAAGTGTAGCCAGTCAACCACTGCTATAGACTAAAATTTCTATTTTTTAGGTGGGCCTTGCACAAATTAATATTGTTGTTTTTTTTCAGGGCTGTGATCACTGCAGTAAGCACAGGAGAAGTTTGGCTGAGGCGAGGAGACAGCAGCAAGACCAAGATATACGTATCTCAGCTACAGAAAGGCAAATACTCAGTGAGAAGGGCAGGAAAATGAGACAGTCATCCTTCCTCCTGCATTCTGTTAAATCCCAGTGGATAACTTCTGCAAAATGGTGGTGTGGTCTTCTAGCGTAGGGTGAGATTGCTTTAGGGTACTGTGTATTTGACATTATTGCAGCATATAGTATACTGTATCTATGTGGATATTGTAAATAAAATGTCTTTTGTGTGAATGGAGAGCTTTAGTAAGTATCCTATTTCTAGAAGGAGGGCTGGTGTTTAGTATAAGGTGCTGAGCTGTTTCCAAAAATAGTTATTTTCCTATAATTACATTTTGCACACGTAAATATGTATTTTTATAACCAACTAAATTAGAGAGCAATAAACTACTGTGTTTAAGCCAAGCTTCTTTGTCTGTGTACTTTCATCAAAGTAATTTATAAAATTACTCTCCGCCAGCAGTTCTTTAAATCAGTGTTCGAGGAGAGTAGTGGCAATACAGTTTTGAACAGTCAAGCAATCCGGTACTTTTCTGTATTATCTCATTACATTATGATGGATTGTAATTTCTAGGGTCAACAGACGGAGACAATATTTCCTTTAGACCCATTGATAAATGAGACTTGGTGTCCGGGTTTTTTTCTGTGCCATTGATATGCATGTCAAACTACCATTCGTTTAGGACAGGGCTCAAAATTTCAAGTTCTGAGCTACTAGCCAGGCCTTAAAAGTTACCCGCCACCAGTTGTCCCACCTAATCCCTACCCTGCCCCATCCTCAACTTCGCCAGGTCCGCAGCGTGACGCAGAGTACATAGATCAGTAACAACGCACAGTACAGAGGGCAGTGGTGTAATGCCAAATACAGAAGCCAATGGTGTGACGCAGAAAAAACAGGGACTTGCAGTGCACAGTTGATCTGATTCAGGTGCCCTCTTCCTCTCCTGGTGGGGTAACAAGGTGACATCTCCTGCAGTCTTGTTGAGCCTCCCTTCAGGTCCCACGCTGTAGAAATGTACGGAGTATAGAGGTCAGCAGTATGACGCACAGTACAGAGATCAGTAACAACGCAGAGTGTAGAGGCCAGTGTGACGCACATTACAGAGGTTAGTAATGTAACGCATAGTACAAAGGTCAGCTTTACAGAGGTCAGTAATGTAACGCACAGTGCAGAGGTCAGCAATATGATGTATGGTACAGAGGTCAGCAGTATGACGCACAGTGCAGAGGTCAGCAATGTAACGCACAGTGCAGAAGTCAGTAATGTAACGCTCAATGCAGAGGTAAGCAGTACAGAGGTCAGTAATGTAACGCACAGTACAGAAGTCAGTCATGTAACGCACAGTGCAGAGGTCAGCAGTACAGAGGTCAGTAATGTAACGTACAGTGCAGACGTCAGTAATGTAACGCACACAGTACAGAGGTCAGTAATGTAGCGCACAGTGCAGAGGTCAGTAATGTAACGCACAGTACAGAGGTCAGTAATGTATGGCCAGAAAGACCTCGACTAGTACTCGGCAACCAAGGGGCTTGAGCTAAATCTCGACCGGCCAAGCATTTTTCCATCTGAACCCAGAGTTTGGTTGAGACGTCAAAGTGCCAATTAACAATCCTCTGGAGAGAGATGGTTTTATAGTATAAGTTAACGTCAGGTAAGCCTAGCCCTCTGGCCCCTTTAGGCCTTCGTAGGATGGTGTATGCAATTCGAGGTCTCTTGCCTCCCCAAACAAAGTGAATGAACAGACTTTTGAGTTTGAGTTTAACAAAAAATGAGTGTGGTAAAAAAAAAAAGGTTATCGGTTGTAAAAAAAAGAGGATATGAGGAAGCACAGTCATCTTCAAGATGTTGATGCGACCCAGCCAAGTAAACGATGAACGATCCCAGTCAGTGAGATCCCTCTGAAGCTGATGTAGTAAGGGTTCGAAATGATGTGCATAAAGGCAAGAGCAATTGTTTGTCAGTTGAATGCCCAAATATCGTATGGCTGATGAGGACCAGGAGAAGGAGAAGCTCTGCCGCAGCTGGTGAGACAATGCCTCTGAAATCTTAATGGGCAGGATTTGTACATCATGTTTTAATGTATGATTTTGTTTTTATAAATATAAATAAAGTGATGCACCGATACCAGTTTTGCGAGTACAAGTACTGATACGTGCCCAAGTACTTACAAGTACGAGTACTAATACATTTATGTTTATTGTCATGTGACAGTTTTTCTAAAACAATACAGACTAATGATTTCAGGACAGTGGTGGAGCGCAAGAGCCAAGTCCCAGCTGCAACCTCTGCAACCCTGGTAGTTCTCATGAAAATGCCAAGTATCGGCACTGGTACTCGAAAAGTATCAGTGCATCCCTAGTTCTGACAATGTTCTGTATCAAGGACAGACGATGGGGTCATTAAGTCCATGGTTTAAACCACCATTGTAGAAAAAATAATAATTTAACTTACGAACAACTAGCGACACCACTTAGACAATACTGTTGTTACTGCCTTATGATGTGGAGACATCTGGTATTATTACAGTGGTACAGGGGTATGTTTTAGCAAAAAGTTTGATTGCAGTGGTACCTTGTAGGTATATAATATCTGTCTTCTGGTACTGATTCTTAGATTATATGATAATTTGTTCCAACCACAGTACATTGACGATGTCAGGCAACAGGTGAACTCTGAATGTGACAAAGAAGATAGTCAATTAGAAAGATGGCTCCTTGAACTGCTCAATTTACATTGGCCTTCTACAAACCACACTGCATGTGCATGGAAGACATTGCTGAACGTGTTGTCATAAAAACCAATCTTGAGAAGTGATTACTTTGAAAGAGGATTTTATACATAGTGGACTTTCACTGTATGCATACAGTACATACTGTTGTGCAAAACATTTGTGAACTCTTATAATGTGTTTGAATTTCTGCATGAATGACTGCTACTCTGATTCTCTTCAAAGTCTTACCAAATAAGCACAACTTTGTTAACAATGCACACCATTGTCATTTCTTAAAGCTGAACTCTTAAGAATAATCTATTTTTAACATTTACATTGGGTCAGCCTGGTTACCTATAATGATCAATATGTTAAATCCTGAGGGCTGCAGGAGAGTCTCCAAAATCACTGTAGTGGAAGAGTTTTCCTGTTTAGGTGAAACCCACAAAAAAAATTGATTCCTCGATCAACGCTTACAAGCGTTGGCCGAGGAATCTCTAACTGTCAGAATACTTGAACAGAGACGGTAGCTCATTGGCTGCCAGCTCTGTTTGTTCGAAGGTTTTCCAATCGGCTCCTTTGATCAGCTGATGGAGGGATGCCAGCTGAAAGGGTGCCGACAGCAGCACCCACTGTGCGTGTTTTGGCTGCAATTCGCATAGTGTATGGCCGCCTTAATATATATCAATACATGTTATTTACAGCACATACTGCATATGTCAATTCGTATTTAGGGATTTTGATTTTGTTATGCTCTCCCTGCTGGATAGATGTAATAAGTGGTGGTTGGGACAAATTAGCCACAGATTCCTACTTGTTAGCTCAGCATATGACTGTCTGGGAGCAAAGGCCAGTCAGATATTTATTTTTCATTGTGCTTAACAAGCTGCACTGAAGAGGAAATTATTTTTTGCCATAGAGCTGAATCACAGTTTAAAAATGTCAGTTTGTATATACTTCCATGTGTAAAATCTAAAGTAAACATTATCGAACCAATCGCAGAAATCTTTTAGATCTTTTTTTAGTCCTGCAAATAGTAATGGGGTAAAAGAATGATTGTTTTGTTTAAAGCATGGTAAACTGGTGCTTAGCATATGCCTGCAATTATAGATTGCTGCTGCACGTCTTTTTCAGTGGTTGGCAGAATAGCAAATGACACATTGTGCAAACAAACCCCAAAGTATGTGCCTGAATATGAAGTACATTTGGCCAAATGCTGCCCAATTAAATGAGTTGGGAACAAAACAATGATACTGCAGGCCACATTTGATGTGTCTGGACGTGTAACTAGGCGTGACTCGCATGCTTGCGTCAGTACTTGGTTTGTTTGATCAGTCACTATACGAAAGGAATGTGATATT